TCTGGGAGGCCAAGTAGCAAATGTGGATGCCTTGAGCTACTTCCCACTGGTAGATACACTACCAGTGGTGCCACCACCAGAACAGTCCATTCTGGTTTTAAATTTTCTGGACACACTTCTGGTCACCGCTGACAGTATCAGACTGAGGATACAAAATGATCCCTTCCTGGCAAAACTAAAATAGTTGGTGGTAATGGGGAAAACAAAAGAACCATTACAACCAGAACTGAAATCTTTCTGGACCTAGTGAGACCATGTCATCATAGAAGAGCAAGAGTGATTGTCCTGCGCAAAGGTCTCCACCAGGTACTGGCTGAACTCCACCAGGACCATCCAGAGGTTTCCAAAATGAAGACGTTGGCAAGAAGTTATGTCTGGTGGCCAGGATTGAATACAGACATAGCCGCATTGGTGGGTCTATGCCTAGAGTGCCAACAAGGATAAAAATTACCACCAGCAGCTCCCCCACATTCGTGGGAATGGCTGAGTAAACCCTGGACTTGTTTACATGTCGCCAGTCCTTTCATGGGCTGTATGTTTTTAGTCTTTGTAGATACCCATTCAAAGTGGTTGGATGTGCATAGAGTTCATTTCTCAACACGGGAACGACGATTGAAAAGTTGTGAGCATCTTTTGAAATACACGGACTCGCGGAGGTGTTGGTCACAGACAACGGGCCATCATTTACTAACAGGGAATTATATTACTTCCTACAGTCAAATGGCATTCAGCATGTAAGAATATTTCCATAATTCCATTGTCCAATGGTCTGGTAGAAAGAGCAGTCCAAACTTTGAAGGCTACCTTAAAGAAACAGCCTACAGCTTCAGTTGATACCAAACTCTCCTGGTTCTTGTTTGTTTATCAGACCACCTTTCATGCAACTACAGGATAGCTCCAGCTGTGTTGCTCATGGGGAGAAGACGCCACATCAGGTTAAATCTGATCTTCCTGGACCTGAGGGGGAGAGTAAAACAGCATTAGGAATGCCAATGCTGGATACAAGACTCCTCTAAGCAAGAGAGAGCGCTGACTTCATGGGACTAACTTTGCTGTCGAAACCATGGTGGTGGTCCTACATGGGTAAAAGGCATGGTCAACACGAGATCAGGTCCCGTGATGTATAAAATTTGGGTTGGAGAGGCAGTTGTGAACAAGCATGTGGACCACATGAAAGCTGCAACCTCACAAATAGGGCAGGAGCAAAACATCATCAGAGGAGCAGGAAGGCTGACGTTTTGGGCCGAGACCCTTCTTCAGAAATGGGGGAGGGGAAGGAGGTTCTGAAATAAATAGGGAAAGAGGGGGAGGTGGTTAGAAGATGGATAGAGGAGAAGATAGGTGGAGAGGAGACAGACAGGTCAAAGAGGTGGGGATGGAGCCAGTAAAGGTGAGTGTAGGTGGGGAGTTAGGGAGGAGATAGGTCAGTCCAGGGACGACGGACAGGTCAAGGGGGCGGGGACGAGCTGGGCTGGTCTTGGGATGCGGTAGGGGGAGGGGAGATTTTGAAGCTTGTGAAGTCCACATTGATACCATTGGGCTGCAGGGTTCCCAAGGGGAATATGAGTTGCTGTTCCTGCAACCTTCGGGTGGCATCGTTGTGGCACTGCAGGAGGCCCAGGATGGACATGTCGTCTGAGGAATGGGAGGGGGAGTTGAAATGGTTCGTGATTGGGAGGTGCAGTTGTTTAGTGCAAATCGAGCGTAGGTGTTCTGCAAAGCGGTCCCCAAGCCTCCGCTTGGTTTCCCCGATGTAGAGGAGGCCACAACGGGAACAGTGAAAGCAGTATACCACATTAGCAGATATGCAGGTGAACATCTGCTTGATATGGAAAGTCTTCTTGGGGCCTGGGATGGGGGTGAGGGGGGAGGTGTAGGGGCAGGTGTAGCACTTCCTGCGGTTGCAGGGAAAAGTGCCGGGTGTGGTGGGGCTGGAGGGGAGTGTGGAGTGGACAAGGGATTCACGGAGAGAGCGGTCCCTCCGGAAAGCAGATAAGGGTGGGGAGGGAAAAATGTCTTTGGTGGTGGGGTCGGATTGCAGATGGCGGAAGTGTCGGAGGATGATGCGTTGGATTCGGAGGTTGGTGGGGTGGTACATGAGGATGAGGGGGATGCTGTTTTGGTTGTTATTGCGGGGAGGGGGTGTGAGGGATGAGTTGCGGGAAATGCGGGAGACACGGTCGAGGGCGTTCTCGACCACTGACGGGGGGACGTTGCGGTCCTTGAAAAATGAGGACATCTGAGATGTATGGAAGTGGAATGCCTCATCCTGGGAGCAGATGCGGCGGAGGCGAAGGAATTGGGAATAGGGGATGGCATTTTTGCAGGAGGTGGGTGGGAGGAGGTGTATTCTAGGTAGCTGTGGGAGTTGGTGGGCTTGAAATGGATATCGGTTTCCGGGTGGTTGCCTGAGATGGAAACAGAGAGGTCCAGGAAGGTGAGAGAGGTATTAGAGATGGTCCAGGTGAACTTAAGGTTGGGGTGGAAGGTGTTGGTGAAGTGGATGAACTGTTCGAGCTCCTCGTGGGAGCACGAGGTGGCGCCGACACAGTCATCAATGTAACAGAGGAAGAGGTGGGGTTTAGGGCCAGTGTAGCTACGGAAGAGGGATTGTTCCACGTAACCTACAAAGAGGCAGGCATAGCTTGGGCCCATGCAGGTACCCATGGCCACCCCCTTTGTCTGTAGGATGTGGGAGGAATTGAAAGAGAAGTTGTTGAGGGTGAGGACGAGTTCGGCTAACGACGACGTCAGCCTTCCTGCTCCTCTGATGCTGCTTGGCCTGCTGTGTTCATCCAGCTCTACACCTTGCTATCTCAGATTCTCCAGCACCTGCAGTTCCTGCTATCTCAGGAGCAAAACATACCCAATTTCTCAGAACATCCGGCAAGTCTGTCAGAACCGTGGGTTCTCCCCCTCTGCCTAGTGTCAAAGGAACCCCTGACAATGAGATGGACATGGCCGAGGTCGCAGTCTTGATGCCATTACTGTCTGAAGATGAATTTCAGATAAAATGCTCCAGGCACGAGAAGGGGGCTACGGTCCAGTACATGCTGCTCATGTCAGATTCAGAGGAACTGGACCTGGTGCGAAAACACTCCCGAAGAAACTGCTCGAAGAAAAAGGGGCCTACGTCCCAGGCCTTAGATGGACAGGGATGTTGTGACTGGAACAAGGTCAGCCAGGTGGACCTCATAGAATATGTGTTCCCCGATTGGGGCTGTTAACCTGGTCCAATCAGGAAATCCTAGCTGATAAATATAAACAAGAGCATCAAGGGTTCTGTTCACTCTTGCAGCCAGTTCTATGGTCGTTGGGTAAGTGTCATGTACAATGCACATGTAAATAAAGGGTGACTTGGTGATGGGATACTGGCCTTTGTGGAGTTATTTGAAGGACCATTTCTATTAAATTAGGGCATCCTAATCACTCTTTATAAAATTAGTTACTTACTTTTGTCAATGTCATAGCAGCCATTTTTCACATCACCCCATGTCACAAGGAACAAGGAGATGAATGATTACTTGAAAAAAATTATGCTGTTTGAAAAAATGTTGGCCAGCATCACTGGCACTCATTCTATAAGAAAAAAAACACTTTGCGATCTTTACCATCCACCTAAAGAGAAGGCAGTTCCTCAATAAAATGTCTGCCACAGGATGGCAGATCCAACAGCTTCAGTCCTATAGTGTCAGTATGGATAATGCTCTAAGGTCCTGGAGTATGCTCCAAATCCACGATCTATTTGATTTATAAGTGAAGCAAACATATTTGTCGGTATTTCTCCATTTCTGAAGAAGGGTCTAGGCCCGAAACGTCAGCCTTCCTGCTCCTCTGATGCTGCTTCGCCTGCTGTGTTCATCCAGCTCTACACCTTGTCATCTCAGATTCTCCAGCATCTGCAGTTCCTACTATCTCTGTCGGTATTTCTCAGTAGCTTTAACATTCTTATGCCTGATGTTTGTATCAGACATCCATGTGATCAAAAAACAAATCACTACAAAAGAAAAACAAATCAGTATTACTCAACCTGTTTTGCTTTTGGCATTCTGCCATACATACGTAGGAAAAGTAGCCACTCCATTCTCACTTATTTACCATGGAAAAGTAGGAGTGGTTGTGATCTGTCCCAGGGCAGGTCGTTTGCTAATTTTGCCATACCTCTCTCTTTCCTCCTTGGTCCCTTGTAAGAGTCTTCCCTTTTCAATTTAGTCCACTTTCAATTTGAATGACCATTATGACAAGGACCATTATCCACGTTATGTGTTCCAGGAAACGCGACCTCATCCTGATCTTCTGCCTGTGAGTAGCCATTGTCCCTCGAGGCTCTGGACCTTAAACCAAAATATGTACGAATGGCATTGTTGCCTATAGCTCCTAATACTGAGCATGAGACCTTTACCTGGGCCGAGGGTGACTCTCAAAAAGGCAGGAACGATAACCTCCTGAAGTCTGTAATAACCTGGCCAATTTAGCAATTAACATGAAGGTGGGTGCTGAAAGGAGAGAAAGCAAAGAAAAATTCTGGACGGCAAGCAAGTTTTTTCGTCGACAGCATTCAAACACATCTTCCCATTCATGAGCTTTTCCATGAGTAAAGAGAGGTGGTAAAATAGGGGATTAAAATTAGGTAGCAAAGATTTTTTTTTCAAAAACCGAAAGAACTGCGGATGCTATAAATCTGAGACAAAGATAGAAATTGCTGGAAAAGCTCGGCTGATCTGGCAGTATCTGTGGAGAGAAATCAGAGTTAACGTTTCGGGTCGAATGACCCTTCTTGACAACCCAGATGCTGCAAACTTGCCGAGCTTTTCCAGCAATTTCTATTTTTTTTCATTTGTTTTTGGATAGTAGAAGTAAATTGTAGGGCGGAATGTATTACAGTAGCCTTGCCATTTCATAATCCCAGCCCACGCCCTCTAACTGTGACAAAACTTCAACCAAGGAGAATAAAAGGCGACTGTAGCTAGCGGAGATAACGTGCGATTGTGAAACGAATAGGTAGTGATGAATTGTCAATCATTGCTGTTAATTAGCTCTGAAGCGGAAGTATAGCCGTCACAAAAACTACGAGTGCAACTAGTAATATACAACGTAAATGGTTGTAGTAAAAATAAACAGGGAAAAAAGCTCGAGGTCGGAATCCAGAAGTGTGACTGTGTCTTTAAATTTCCTGGCTGAATGGTGTGGTTCCAGCCAATTGTAGAGAAGGTGTAGAATGCTGGGAATGTTAAGTCAAGCCTGGCTGGGATAAGCTGAATGGTGAAGGAGTGAGGAGGGATGCCCGAGGTAAAAAAAAAGAACCAGTTTTTATTTTGTGCTCGGTTTCCGCCCCCTTCACCCCAGTCTCAAGGGGATCACCGCATTCGGGTTCTATGCGGCTACTGCCGAGTCTGTCTTAAGCAGCAGAATCCTGGTGTGGCACATAGCTAAAGGGGGTTTAATATTTTGTATGTGGTGTGTAATGTGAGGAGACAGATGCATTGATTGGAGGTGAGCGACTGGCTTTCATTATTGCAGCTACAAGGGGAAGGCGAGACATCTTTTGTAAATAAAGGCAGCGGAAACGTGTCATTTTCTGTGCATTAGATACAAATTCACCAGGGTTTCAGTCCGTTTTTTTTCAGCAGAAGGCCTCGAAATGCCATTTATATTAGACATACAGAGTGCATTGCTGAGCCAAAATGAGTACAGCAAACGCCCATTGTCAGAATAAATGGTTAGACAGAACGGTGTCTTTAACGTTTATGGGATCGCCGTTATTAAATCCTCTTTTTTTTTGTTCCTTGTTTGCTTTTGAGACAAAAAAATCGCATTTGCTTAAAAGTAACTAAGGTTTAATGAAGGTATTGATTTCTAGGCGGTTTCCTGGGCACAGCCCTCTCCATCTACTGTCCGTGGAATCTGCTGCCTCTGCCTAACCTAGTAAAGTGGATGGTGGGGGATATTCAGATTGACATCTCATAGTCAATTCAGCAAGTTAAAATTTAGAAATCTCGAATTGTTTTGGCCAATCGACGAGATCGGGGTTGGACCGAGTTAAGTTTGGCTGTAATTTCGGTTTCGGGCGAGCCGTCTGTTTTTTGGGGAGATTAAAAAAGGGACATTCCAGACAATATTGGTCTTTAACCCATTGAAGATTCTTCCTTTGGTAACATTTTATCAACTGTTATTTTCATATAATCGATCACTTGAATTATTTCAAACATGCCTTTGGGCATATGAAATGTCAAATCAAATGAGTTTCCTTCTGTATAAAGTAGTCGCTGTTTAACATCTTGCTGTGAAATATTTCAGGTCTATTTTTAAGTGTTTCACTGGCATGTTTTTTCTTCTTCAGGCATGTGAAAATCTTGTGATGCTAGAACTATGGTTGGTAGTCTCTAAGAGGCATTGCAACAAATCACTCATTGGTTGCATACAAATAATTTGAATTGTAATGCTCTCAAAATGTCTCTTTCTTTAAAAAAAAAATGTTTTTAAACAGCCTAAGGACTGGTAGAAATGGTTTCAGTTTCAATTGTGAAACCTGTTGACATTAGTAGTCCACAGCATTATCGTGTGCTAAACCATGCTGCAAGTGTATTATCTTAGAAATGTTGATACCAAAACCACATGAAAGTAAGGTTATTTGCATTGTCATGATTGCATGCAATTTTTTTCATGTGCTGGGATGTGGATTTGAATCCATTTGAGGTAGGTAAAATCGAAATCTCTCTGTATATTTTTGGGCTTTTTATTGCTTTTCATTAGATCAATCCCATTCTTGTCTGTTCTCACGAGTTCACAACCTACAACCTGTACTAATTGTCCTCAGTGGAAACCTTAGGATGCTGGAGGTGGAACAGTGGGACTAGGTCCCATGCTAAATAACTTGCATCTAAGTGATTCTAACCTGATTATTGAAATATTTAATTTTGGATAGGTGAGCAAAAAGGGGAAAACAAATCAACATCCTGTCATTTCTTTTAAGCCCAAAAATCACAAAATGAATAAAAAATGCATAATCTAACGCAACTCTACATCTATCTGTAACCAAGGCAACATGGCATGCAGTGCTGTCACAGCCTGACATATTGTTCTTGAAAATTGCATTGGTGAGTTAACACCTTTTTGCCACGGAATTTGAAGTCCTTTTTTAAGGACAAAATACTGCAAGGTATAAAAAAGCTACCTTTTTATTAAAAAAAACCAAAGAAATATATAAAATTAATGATAGAGCCTCTTGTCAGTAAACTTTCCAACTCTAACCAATATTACTGATTAAAAACACAATCAGATGTTGCCAGGATTGGAGGGTTTGAGTTTTTAGGAAAGGCTGAATAGGCTGGGCTTTTTTCCCTTGGATCGTCGGAGGCTGATGGTGACCTTAGCGGTTTATAAAATTGCAAGGGGCATGGATAGGGTGAATAGCCAAGGTCTTTTTCACAGGATAGGGGGAATCCAAAATTAGAAGGCATAGGTTTGAGGTGAGAGGGGAAAGGTTTAAAAAGGACCTGAGTGGAACTTTTTCATGCAGAGGGTGATGCGTATATGGAATGAGCTGCCAGAGGAGATGGGTACAGTTACAACTTTTAAGTACATTGGTTAAGTACATGAATAAGAAATGTGTGGAGGGATATGGGGTAAGTGCAGGCAGATGGGACATGTTTGGTTTGGGATTATGGTTGGAGTGGACTTTGGACCAAAGGGTCTGTTTCCATGCTGTATGACTCTGATATATGACAATGTTTCATGACAAATTCACTGACATTACAGAAATATTTCTAGGTGAATACAGGTAATGCCTACTGTAATCACATTGTACCGTGTAGATTTGTGCATGTAACTTTTATTTGTACGGTGATCTGAATTGGGAAGTATTGTTCATGAGAAATCTTGAAATGAAGCTGGAAATATTTTTCAAAGTGGAAGAGGACAAATCCTTTAGGGTGAATTGCCTAAAATGGCATTGATGGAGGCCAAGGAGCATGTTATCCAACTCCTATAGAAATAACAAATGGCAGAGGAATATTTAAGGTGGTTTAGGAAGAAATTAGTGACCAAAGTGGGAGACTTTAGTGCAAACTAAGTGTGCGTTGCCTTACATTTTTAATGCTACATATAGTAAGTCAGTAAGAGTGACATCAAGTATTTTTGTTCACTGTATGTTTTACCTGCTTCTCCTAGATGAATGGCTGATATCCATTTATTTTGGATGGGTTATTCAAAACTGGTATCCCAGATTGTTGGTTAAGTAAAAGCAGAAAATGATTTTACTTTTGGCTATAATGACAAAAATGTATGTGGCTTCAGCTTGGTCCACCCTCTGTCACTTGTATATGATCTCCGTTAGGTTAATGAATGGAGCACTGCAGTTGATGGCAATATTTCTAGTCGGAGGTCAAAGGCAATATTTCCAACCTTGATTGAAATCTGTTAATTTGTGTTGGAAAGTACATGGCTATGTACACATTTAAAGACAAGAAGGGTTTGCCTGTGATTTGTGTACAATGTTCAATTTTTAGATAATTACTGGATCAGCTCATCAAGAATGAGGAATGGTCAGGCGATTGGGATGATTGCCATTGCCTGCTAAGTCCACCCCCGCATCAAGTCCAAAACTAGTATGAATTACCACCTTTGGTGAGAGAAGAGAAAATTAGAGAAAAACTTCACAAGACAATAGGAATTGTATAGTTTTGATGGCTCTTTGGCCTCTTGAGTCTGCATCAAGTAAACTGCTCTAAATCTACAGTAGTCTCATTTTCCAGCATTTGGCCCATAGCCTTTAATGTTATGACATTTCAAATGCTCACCCAAGTACTTTTCAATAGTTGAGGTTTTCCACCTCAACTAGCCTTGCAGGCAATGCATTCCAGACTTGTACCCACCTTCTGTGAAAATTCCCTCCAAACTTCCTGTCTTTGAACGTAAAATTATGCCTCCCCGTTATTAATGCTTCAACTAAGGGGAACAGCTGCTTTTTATCGATCCTGTCCATGTCCCTCATAATCTTATACCCTTCTGTCAGGCTCTCCCCTCAGCCATCTTTGCTGTAAAGAACACATTCTGAACTTATCCAGCCTCTCTTTACAGCTGAAATACTTCATCCTAGGCAACATCCCAGTGAATCTCCTCTGCAGCTCCTCCAGTGAAATCATACCCTTTCTGGTGCAGTTATCAGAACTGCTTTTAGTACTCCAGCTATGGACAAGCCAGAGTTTTGTACAGTCCATACAAAACCTCTCTACTCCTATCTATGCCACAACTGCTAAGTGTCTCGTGTACCGCCTTAGCTACCTTATTAAGCTGTCTTGCTGTCTTCAGTGATCTGTGGACAAGATCTCTGTTCCACTTCCAAATGTCTTGTCGTTCATTGAGTACTCCCCTGTCTTGTCACTACTACTTCTCTCACTTTTCATGGTTAAATTCTATGTGTCACTGTTCTGCCCATCTGACCAATTTATCTAAATCCATAATGTAAGACATTTCTCCTCATTGTGAACCACCCAATCAATCCTTGCAGATGACACAAACTTGCTTGTCTTTCCTCCCACATTTTAATTTAGACTGTTTGTTAACAACAAGGGATCTAGCACTGATCACTGTTGTATGCTACTGGACACCAGCGTTGAGTCACACAAACAGCCTTCTCCCAACAGTAGTTAGACTAGGAAAGTGAATGAGTCCACGTTGTGATAGGCTAACCATTTTGTGTCATCCTATTTATCACACTCGGACATTGTGCAAATTATTTTTGAAGCTTGGGGAGTTTTGAGTTCTGGTGCAAACTGACTGAGATCAATTGGTTTCCAAAAGTCAATAAATTAAATTTAATCCTATCCTTGACTGCTGCTGAATCAAACAGAGGATGTAATAACCAGCTGCATGTTTGATATCTTGAAGCAGAACCAGTCGATCATTGCTTGTATCAATTTTGTTGTGCAATGTAACTAGGATTTCAGTTTTGCATCTACTGTTCCTCAACTCTAACACTATCCCCTGCCTTATGTATCTTGTGCTGCTTATTTTCCCTCTTCTGTTTCTATAACAACAGTAAAATGGATCCATCCATGTTTGTGTTGCTAAGGGTATCTCTGCTGGTTCAATGTCTATGACCATGTGAAGTGGACTGCCTGTATTTGAGTGCATGAATCTACTTGAACCCAGCCATTAGCACTGAGTAAACAGTGCTCGGAGAATGTATGAGTGTTGCATAGTGACTAGCTAACCATTTTATATCATCATCTTTATCTGATAGAGGTGCCTGGTTTCCACTAAATATTCTTTTGCAGTATGGTTATGAT